CACTGCTATCATATCTCCCCTGGTCCTTCTCTTCACTAGACTAGAATTTGGGCCAGCTCTCTCCTAAGATCTAATGATGTCCTGAGGTCCTAAAACAGCAGATAGTAAGAGAGGATGGTGGCTGTGGTGGGAACAGAACTGGTTGCACTATAGACCTCATCCCTGGGGCTGGAAAAGAAACAGGACTTTCTCAGGACTTTGTGGATAAGACAATGGATACTCCAGAATCAGTGTTATTTGGGGAAAAAGGATTGTTAGCCCTTCAGCCGTACATTCTCGACAGGAGAGCTTCAAGCAGTTCTTAAGAGATTTTAACCTAGGACAGGGGTAAGCAACCTTGGCTCTTTTATGACTCGTGGACTTCAACTCCCAGAATTCCTGAGCCAGCCGTGCTGAGGGGAAAGGGAGAGGTTTCCATGCTGAGCTATGCTGGCTCAGGAATTCTGGGAGTTGAAGTCCACAAGTCATAAAAGAGCCAAGGTTGCCCACCCCTGACTTAGTGGATTGACTAAAACAAATGACAGCTAGCATTATGGTATATTCAATTTCCAGGATTTGATATAGTAACTCTTTACCTTCTGGAAAATAAGTCTAACTATGAGACTCACCTTGAATGCTTTTTGCTGGGCTGCACTGTGTGGTTGGGGGAGTTGAGAAGTCCTCTTAAGTGTGAGGGTGGAAATGTATGTTTATTTGTTTATTACATTTCAGAGGATGCCAAACCCTTAATATCGTTCCCCTGTGACCTGTGCTGAAATAAGAGTCAAGGGCTACCCTAGGTTAAACGTACATTAGGCAGGGCTGCTCTCTTGTTCTTAGGCAGCAACATGTGTTGAGTTCCCTGGTCTTTTGTTCAAAAATGTTGGGTAGAGTTTGACACGTTCAAAAGAGGACAATTTCACAGATCTTTTCTATTTCTGCAAACACAGGATCTTTAATAGCTCAAAGAACTACAGTCACCAAAGAACAGCATTAAGCCCATGAAGCTTGCAATCAGAATAACAGAGTTGGAAGGGACCTTGGAGGTCTTCTAGTCCAGCCGCCTGCTCAAGCAGGAGACCCTATGCAGTGGTGGGATTCAGCTGGTTCGCACTAGTTTGGCAGGACTGGTAGCTAATTTTTTGTTGCCAAGGCCCAGGATGGGCTTCTGGAAGGGGCATCCACACAGAGAACCAGTTGTTGACATATTTGAATTCCTTCCTTCCTTCCTTCCTCCCTCCCTCCCTCCCTCCCTCCCT